CCTCCCTCGTGACCAAACCATGCTTGGTTTGGTCCGAATCTAACCGTGGAGACTCAAAACCCAAATCTGTCATCTAGGAACCATAGAAACCCCAGGGCCTGGTCTGTGTCCGTTTGAGCCAAGTGATTAGGGTCTAATGGACCTTAATCGAAGTGTTCTCAGTCGAGAACACTTCGATTAAAGTTCGTTCAACCCCAAGAAGGTTTTCTTCAAATACGAGTTTTGGTTTTCTGATTTTTCCAAGGATTTTAAGGTAAGTATGTTTCTATTTTCTTTATTCAATTCATGTATTTGTTAAAGGTCTGTTTGTATGGTCAAACGTCTTGTTTTAATTTGTGTTTTGAATTCTACCAACTGTTTCTGCCCACCTTGCCCGGACCTCTGTATTGGTCAAATCTTTCCTCTATTCACTGATAGTGTGTATATGTGTATGTGTTGTGCAATCAATTGAACTTTAAATTTGACTGATTAATCGATTCCCCAGTACAATTGTTTGTTTAGTCAGTACAATTCGAATCATGTGTTTAATACTGTTAAATGCTCTGATCATGGCTTCCGATTGTACATGTTATGATTAGTATAGTCGAGTCGACATATGTCGTCAATTAATTTCAGTTGTTCGAATGGTAACAATTGGATCTGTTGCCTGCTGGAACTTTGTTTGAATCAAAGTAAGAATCAAGTATGGCTACTTATAGTTGTTGTGTTTGAATCTGGAAATGAAAAGATTGGATTGTTAGCTGCAATCTGAATTGGATGGCATGTGCATTGGTGTACAACATGTGCATAAAAGCCCTTTTAGATTAAAATAGTTTGACAGCATGTGTTGTCAGATTATATTCTTGCTGCCCCTGTCTGCTTTTTAGTTTAATAAATGTTAAAGGGTACTGTCAGGAATCTCATGGGAGGTTTTCATATTTTAAACATTGAGTGGAAAAACAGCAAGAAAGTGAGGGATTTCTGATGGTTTAACAGGCTGTGAATAGATGATGTTAGGATATAAAAAGGAAGAAGAACTTCCATTAGAGGGGATCAGACTGGATTTTTCTGGGATTTTTCAAAAGAAATACATAGAGAGATAAGAGAAGTAAGGCATACATATTAGGGAGACTAGGGAAAAGGAGGGCAGACTGGACTGATTTTTTGAGAGGCAGACAAATTTTTAGGCTGAAAATTAGACTGATTTTGGGGACTGGATGTTTAGACAGACATAGATATAGAGGGATACCACAGAGAGAGGCATATACAAACATACCTTGAGTGAGAAAAACACATTTATAAAAAGAGCAAGGAATAGGAAACATAGAGACAAAATCAGAAACTGTTTCTTCCTATTTGTTGTTTGGATTTCTTTTAACTTGTGGAATCAATACTGATTTTTCCAAGTCTTTAACTGAGTTTACTGTTTGGTTGTCCTCATTGGTTCATTCTTGGATTTGGTCTGCCTGAGTTTTGATCATACTCCCCTGCTTATTGCTGTCATTTTGCTACCTTTTCCCTCGTCTATAATTGCATCTTGCACTGAAACTTGTCCTGCTACTATCTATCTGTTACTGCTGCTGTTTCGTTGGCACTGCTGCTCTACTGACTCTCCTGCTTCTTCATTGTAAGCATTTCCCAGGTACACATTTCGACCCCCGCATTGGTGTAACTGATTGTAACAATGAAAGCATGAATTGAAAGATCTGAAGGAATTATAATCATCTGCTGTTTTACTTACAGTCTTTTGTTAAAGGTTGTTAAGTTGTGTAGATTTTAGTTTGTAGTTCAATAGAGAATATATTAGCAAGTGTGTATTTAATCGAAGCTTATGCTGATCTAAACCACGATATGTGATTCGTTTAATAGTATACAGGATGTAACCATAATTCATGGCATATGCAACCATTAGTATGATTGTTAATTCAAACTCGTTCTTCATCATGTTTTGAATATGTAGGGTGGACGGTCCGTTTCAATTTCACAAAAATACAACACAGTTTTAGATTTTCGAGTTTCAGCTTCATTAGGCAGTTTATAGGTTGAGTTTCAAATATCATTAGTCGCATCCTCTAATAAGTGGTTTTAATTAATCCAGTCTAAATGAGTTAAATTTAATTCAAGGAGCGCTTGTAGTAGTTGTAACATTTCATCAATCTTGTATATAATTCTTCTATCAAAAATTAAAAGCATGTTTCATGAGGTATAACGCTTCTTCACCCTTAAATAATTAATCAGACGATTAACAAAAATCTGGATTTGGCCAAAGCATATAATTGAATTAGCATGCATCTTTTCTTCTATTTTTAGAGACAAACACATTAGAAATGTAGTCGCTTTAGGATATTCCTTCTAAAAAAATGAGACGAGCCTCGCCAAATTAGAAATGCAAATTG